ACATAAAAAATCGTACTACAACAACAAAATACACCCAACTGCTTAGTAAAATATTTCATTGCCTTCACATGAGACAGCTGGAGAAAAGGTTGACTAGTGCCGAGGTTTGCTTTTTTTCTTCGAACATTGGCATTGTTTTCGTTTTTTTTTATTTTCTAACATTTATTTTAACTTCTTTTTCCAATTCGTTGCTGTTGTTGTTGTAGTTGTTGCCACTGTCTGTGGGTGGTTGATTTCTTGAATTAGGGTCAACATTCCTTGCAATAATCAGCTAAGGAAAGATATAACTTTTTGGTGGCTAACGAGAGAGGGATGGGGGAAAAAGAGAGGAGAGAGGCATTGGTATACCTTAAAGGTGTCATAAATCATTGTTGGGCTCTTGAAACTATTTTGAACATTTAAAGTTTGGCATTTTATTTAATAGTCCAGTCGAAGTTTTTTTTTTGGTCAGGTTGTTGCCAAAAATTTTAAATGTTATATATTTTGTATTTGCCGGTAAGGTGATATATTTTAGAAAATGGTTATTGTTTTTTATGATAAAGGCCGTTAAATGGAGACTATATTTATATTTTATAACAGACAACAGTTTTGAGAGTTCGTTGAAAAGCCTTAGAAAAAAGATAGAAAAAGTATAGTAAAAAAAAAAATTATAAAAAAATAAATAAATAAATAGTAATAATAATTCTCTTCGAAAGAAATAAAAATGTTAAAAAAAATCGATTATTGGTCAGTTTGTCCTTGAAAAAAAAAAAATGTTTCAAAAAATCTCGGTTCCACTAATATTAGATTTTTCGATAATTAAAAGAAAAATCCAGCAAATAATGTAAGTAGAGCTAAAAATATCGGCGCTATAAAAGATTAAATTGTTAAGTAACATAAATAGAGGGGGCAAGTCCCTCCCCTCTTCCACATTTTTAGATTTAGATTCATAGAAGTCTGTGCATGCAATCAACAAAAGATATCGTTTTTTTTTTCAAAACGTGGGTAAATAATCTCTTTAAATCCGGTCGTAACCTGTCAAAGACGTTAAGAGTGTCAGTCTTATGTAAAAGTCATGAAATTCATATTTACAGGGTGAGATAAAAAAACAGCAAGAAAGTCAAACGCCCTAATTTTTACATTTTTTTTTATTAAATTTTATTGAATGAAAGCAAAAAATGTCGGAAATAGCATCAAATTTTAGAATAATTTTAGATTTGTTCGAATTGGTCACCATTGACACAAATTATGGCCTTTAAACGGCCAAATGGAATAGGTCACACGCTGCCCGAATGTTGCTCTGTGATATTTTGGCCCATTCCCAGCGAAGCGCTTGCTTGAGGTGAACGACACTTTAGTATTTTTTAGTGCCAAGCTTGCTTTCCAAAATACTCCAGACACAATAGTCCAACGGATTGGTATCCGGAAATTTTTGGTGGGCATTGTGCGCGGGAAATGAAGCGAGGAACCTCATTTTATAAACAATCTTGGGTGGTGCGTGCTGAGTGAGATGGTGGTGAGTCTTGTTGCAATGTCCAAGGTCTGCGGCCAAAATGTTTGCGTGTCATAGGCTTTAATACATCTTCCAGCATATTTTCGCGATAATATTCGGCATTTATTCTGATGCCACGCCCGATTAATACGAGCGACCTTCGGCTGTTATGGCGGCTAGCACTATCACCATGGCCGGCGCTTGAGTTTTGGTGGCCAACCGAAGGTGCACATTTTCAGCTGACCTCTTTGGCAAGTAAACACGATCATTTTGTTTGTTTACAAACTGCTGGACAATGAATGTTTTCTTATCGGAGTTGGAGAAAACCAAAATCGGCAGTTCACCACTTTCGCCCAAGCGAAGCAACTCTTTAGCTCTTTTAAGTCTATTTTCTTTCTGGTGCTGTGTAACTTCTTGCACTTTTTGGAATTGAAATGGCTTTACCCCGAGCTAATTTTTTAATATTTGCCGAATGAAATATTGCTATGTTCAGCTCATCTTTTGGGCCACTGCGACGTGGGTTTCGATCAAGTCGCTTCTTTACTTTTCGAACCATTTCTGCAGATGTTGCTGTTTTCTTCCGACCACTTCCTTTACGTCGGGTTACGTACGACATTAACGAGCGAAGATACGAGACACAAAAGATTTATTCACATTTAAATGCTGGAGTGCTCTAACGATAGCCACCTGCTGTTTTCCAGCCAAATATAAAGAAATCACACTTTAACGCTAGAATTCCATCACGAATAACTTTTTTTCTGGAAAATTCTCACCAAAATGCTTTTGTATGCTTGTAAACAGTAGAATAAGCTGTCACTGCAATAATTTTAACAGCTGTCGGACGAGTGGCCTAGAAATGACAACAGTCTGAAGTTGGTTATAATTTTTTCATATTGCCCTGTATGTTGCTCGTTGGTCTTTTTTCCAAAATAAGTTCAAATATTCTACAAAATTATTTGTCATGAAATTCTACAATAGGTCCTAGAAGACCAGAAATACCTATATTATTAAAAACATATTTTAGTGTTAATTTGAATTTATTCAAAAATCTCTAACAAAGCACCATTTTGGAAGGATGGCGTCAAAGACAAAAATATTCTTCATTAAATTTTACTGAAAGTCTCCACAGAAAAGAAATGAAGATTATTACTGCTTATCAAACAAATAATAGCCTCAATTTTCTCAAAAAAAAAAAAAAAAAAAAAAAAAAACAACAAGGGAACTGATGAGGGTTTATGGCTCTTTCCTAAACCTAGGCATTCCCTGCCATCCCCCTGGTAAACATTACCATCGTTCTCCACTAATAAACAAATGTTGTTTTTATAAAAACAACAATAAAGGGATTAAGCCTAACGTTTTTACAACAACAAAATACTATGATATCCCGAACAAACAAGCCAACACTGTTCAAAAAAAAAAAAAAAAAAAAAAAAACAATAAAATAAATAAATAAATATAAAAAAATAAATAAATAAATAACATAAAATAATCTCCAATTTTTTTGATCAAATTTTCCTCGGACTTTTTTCGAGTAGACGCCTGAAGTAACCTTAAATTTCATTTTAGCCGAAAGGTGACAAAAGAAGAAATATTCAACACCAAATTTCACTATAGATCTCAGGATAAATTATATACCTGTATACAATAGTTTTTTTATGAAAATTATATTCAAATTTTCTTTCTTCTACTTTTGTCTTAAAAATATAAAAAAAAAATAAAAATATAAAATCATGTTTATTGGACCTGCAAAAATATTACAAAATATCGAATTTCTTGGGCTTTGGAAAAAAAGCTAAACCAAAACCTCCACTTTTCTATATTTCTAAGGAAATATTAAAAAAATCCACATTAGTTGAATATTTGTTTAAAAAAATGTATATATTTTTTTGTGAGAATATATTTGACATGAAGTTTTTTGGTCCTTGAAAAAATATTATGCTCATGTCCAATTTTATTGCTTCTTAAAAAATGTCTGCAAAAATTCCACGTTTTTGTTTGCCTCTTTGTCACATTTTTAATTATTTTATTATATTTTATTTCAAGGATTTTCAATCTATGAATTCACTTTCAATCCATGAAAATCCTTGAAATAAAATATAACAAAAATATAAATAAAATAATTTAAAAAAATAATTATTTAAAAAATAGTGGTTGATTAGCTTCCCAAACAAAAACTGGTATTTAAGGACTCAAACCTCAATCTAGCTACATAGGATCTGAGAGCCGAAAAAAAACCCACAGAAAACATTGCATGTTGGTAATTAAAATATTAGCAACGACATGCGTTTTTTGTTAAATTAAAATTACTTTCCGCTCAGCTTTGGCCAGAAAGTCAAAGGAAAAGTTGTTATCGTTTCCATGAAAGACGACACAGCAACAGCAGCAGCGGCAGCGGCAAAATGACGGAAATCAAAATTAGTGCAAGTGTTGGTGAAAAATTTAAATGGAGACCACTGAGAAACCTGATGGCGGCGACGAGAGGATGTCGCAACAAAACGGCCAAAACAATTATAAGGCATTTAGGCGTGTGCACACACACACACATATTAACATGTTTTGTGTGCAGAACTGCCAAAGAAAAAGGTTAAAAAATTTTCTTTTTCAAATGGCATGGAAAATTGCCGCTGGATGCAACATTAACATCCATTAGCAAGGAACACGTGTGGCAATTCCTAACCTTTTAACTTACCACCCCCCAACCAAAAAACAAGGAGAAGAAGAAGAGTGTAAGATTTAAAGCTTCACTTAGCGGTTGTGATTTGCAATTAACACAATTCATTCATTCCTTTATTCATTCATTCATTCATCGAGTTTGCTAGTCACTCATCCGAAAAGTCATTACTTGATTGTTGTTGCTTATCTGACTGACTCACTTTGTGTTGAGGGAATAAAAAAAGCAACACAGACAACAAATCATCCCTTAAATGCCTTTGGTTTCATCACCCCCCCCCCCCCTTTCCTTTCCCTTCCACCCCACCCCACACACACAGAGAGAGATAGAGAACAATACCTAATTGCCAAATGATTAAACGATTTATGATGTTCGTCGCTGATTGTTTGAAGTGCCTAACGAATCGAATAATGGCCTCATCAAGTTGTTGAGAATTATTTGCGGTTGTTTTTAATTTCTTGAAGAGTTAAAGGATTTCGACGAATTCTTTTCGGTTTTGTTGTTGTTTAGCCAAAGGGCTTTTGTCACGCTTTGCAAATCAAAGTGAGGGAAAAAAATAAATAATAAAACGTAAATCGAACCATGGGAGGTCCTTGGGCCTTAAGAGGAAAATTGTGACACTTGTTGTCAAAATATTTCGGGTTTCAACAGATGTCATGTTTTTCCTATACTTTCGAATGTTATTTTTGATATCTTTCCAATTAAAGGTTATCTGTTGAAGCTTAAAATTGGCAGAACAATTAGGACACATTTTTACTTTGGGTTCATATAAATATTTTTTTATATCTGGTTTTCCTTGAAATTCTTACCAATTCCATAGCCTTGTATTAATTTTGTTTTTGTTTTTTTTCCTTACAGGTTCTGGTCAAATCCAATTATGGCAATTTCTATTGGAACTACTCTCAGATTCCAGCAATGCCGGCTGCATAACCTGGGAGGGTACAAATGGTGAATTCAAATTAACCGATCCCGATGAGGTTGCCCGTCGTTGGGGTGAAAGGAAATCCAAGCCGAACATGAATTACGATAAATTGAGTCGGGCATTGAGGTGAGCAAATGAATCCGAAATTTAAAAATATTAGAAAGGAAACCTTTGACCCTTTTTGCTAAGAAAGTGGTAAAAACATTTTTAAGTAAATTTGGAAAAATTTTTGGTATAAAAGTTTTTAAGGAATATTTTCAAAACAATCTACCTTCGATGGTCGAATAGTCCTTTAAATCCATGCTTATTGGTATAAAAGTCTTTTTAGTTAAATATTGATCCTTTCGATAGTCCTAAGGTCCTAAATCCTCGTTTGAAGTTCGGAAATTCCTTCGAAAACATTTGAAAAAACCAAAGATAAAAAACTCTTTTAAAACAATTTCTAAAAACCTTCGGAAACTCCTAAAAAAAACATTTGTAAAAAATTCAATTCAGTTTTTCATTTTTTTTAAATCCTTCGTTAAAATCCTTCAAAAGATTTTTGTACAAAATTCACGTTTGAGGTTCAGAAGGTCTTTAAAAAATATATTTATAAAACAGCCAATGTTTTTTATTATTATTATTATTATTATTATTATTATTATTATTATTATTATTATTTTAAACGAACATTGTTAAAAAAACCCAACCTTTGTTGGTCCTTGAAAAGGATTTTTACTTTGAAAAAATATTTTTAACAAATCCCTATTGTTTATCCTTGAAAACAATCCACATTTATTGGGCGAAGGATATTTATAAAAAAAAAACAAAATTGATGGTTTTGGAAAATGTTGCAAAAATATATGGTCTACAGGTTTCTGGAGGTCTGTATTTGAAAACTAAACAAAAAAAATCCTTCAAAAAATATTTAAAAATGTCATTGAATAAACATTTAAAAAAATCCTGAAGATCTTTCAAAAAATATATCTTTTTGCAAATATTCAAGATTGTTGACCTGAATATCCTTGAGGGAATTGTTTGATAAAAAATCAACGATTGTTAATCACCTGGAAGTTCTAGAATACATATTTAAAAATTCTACAAAACATCCATGAACATAAAAGTCTTTAAAAAACAACAAAAACATTATTAATATTTTGAAAAAACATTGTTAAATAACAACATAGGCTGGTCCTTGAAAGGGATTTTTTCTTTGGGTTTTGATCCGTGAAAATTTTTTTTAAAAAATTAAAATTAATGGGTTTTGGAATAAATGTTGTAAAAATCCATGAGGATTGGCCTGTAGATTCCTAAAAAAATATTTAAAAAAAGTGCGGATCTCGGTCTTTTTTAATATATTATGGTTGGTCCTTGAAAAAATTACTTAAAAAAATTACAAATTTTAATTTTTTTAAAAATCTTCAATTCTTTGTCTCTTAAAAAAATATACAAGGTGGGATAAAAAACTGCAATAAAGTCAAACGCCATAATTTTTATATTTTCGGAAATAGCATCAAATTTTAGAATAAGCTAAGATTTGTTCGAATTGGTCACCTTCGACACGAATTATGGCCTTCAAACAGGCAATGAAATCATCACACGCTGCCCGAATGTTTCTCTGCGGTATTTTGGCCCATTCGCTTGCTTAAGGTGATCGACACTTTGGAGATTTTGGTGGCCATTGTGCGCTAGAAATGAAATGAGGAACCTTAATTTGTACCCATTTTTGGGTGGCGCGTGCTGAGTGCAATGGTGCCTTCAAAAAAAAAAAAAATAGTTTTATTAATTGTAATTTGAAGCCACCAAAAAATGGATGAAAAATTGGTCTGAGAACCTCTTTTGTAGTCCTTGAAAATATTTTTCTAGGATCCTTCGTTACAATCCTGCACTTTTTTTTTAATTTTCCACTTTTTTTTAATTTTCCATTAAATATTCCTTGGAATTCTTGCATTTTAGTTGTATAGTGTCTTCGGCAATATAACTGAATACAATACAAGGATTTTTTGACGGAAATGTTTAACCCTCAAGCGAGTCATCAAATGGGCCTTTTTGGTTCTTTTTTACAAAATTTATTTGAAACTCCCTTTAAACGGGATCATAGCAAATCACAATATTCTTCAAAATTATTTGTCATAAAATTTCAGTATAGTTCTTGGAATACAACAAAGCTCTGCTGAATTAAACCCCAGGAATTTATAAATATTAAAAACGCTTTTTAAGGTTAACGCCGAACCTGATATGATTTAAAAAAAGTGATTTTAGATGGATGACACCAAACTTTAAGCCACCAAAAAATGGATGAGCAATACAATGAACCATGAAAATAAATAACCTAGGTTCGGCTGGACCGAACTTTTTGTACCCTCCCGCATTTGGAAGGAACTTGAAACATTTAAAAAAAAGAAACCTTCGAAAAATACCACTCAAATGAAAACCTTTATATGGTGGCCAGACGGGGTCCTGCATAAGTAATTTGTTGTCAACGGCTGTAGTAACGATTCCGAGCTTCAAATACGAAATTTGTAAAAATCTGGTTAATAATATAGCTAAAATCATCAAAATACCGAATATCGATAGGTATCGTAATATGAGGGCCGTACGAAGACTTGAACCTGCACAGACAATTTTTTGTCATAAGCTGTAATATCCATTCCAAACTTCAAATACGAAATTTGAAAAAATCAGGTTAATAATGTCGCTAAAATTATCAAAATACTCAATATCGGGTCGTATCGTTATAAGGGGTCTATACGAAGTCGTTAATCTGCTTAGAAAAATTTCCGTCATAGGTTGAATTGCCCATTAGAAACTTCAAATACGAAATTTGAAACAATTCCATTGAAAAGTGTGACTAGAATTATCCAAATACCGAATATCGGAAGGTACCGTTAAATGGGGGCTATACGCGGACTATCGTGGACCGATATGGCCCATCTTCGAACTTGACCTGCCTGCAGAGAAAAGACTGATTTATGTAAAATTTAAGCATCCTATCATAATTCGTTTTGACTCTAGCGTGATTATAACATACGAACAGATGGACGGGAAGGCCTAAATTGTCTTAGAATTTTACGGTGATGAAAAATAGGTTTAAAATTATTATTTCGATGAGTTAAAAACAGAATGACGAACTTAATATACCCTCCATAATATAAATGGTGAAGGGATATAAAAATTCGACCGTGAGCCACTTTCGAAGTTTTGCTCTTCTGCGTTGGACATTATTATTGGCCTGAAAATATTTTTTTAAATCTTTTGAATTTTTTTTTTTTTTTTTGAAAATTTTGTATAATTTGCTCCTAATTTACCATCTATTCGTTGTCCTTTCTTCAAATGCCAGACGATTAAGAGTTTTTCTTTCTGTGAGTTTTCCGCGTTGTTCAGTATCATTGGCTTCAAAAAAAAAAATGTTTTAAAGCACTTCAAAACATTTTTTGAAAATCTTCTATAATTTGCTCCCAATTAACCATTTATTCTTTCTTCCCTTCCCTCACATGCCAGCCAATAATGAAATTTTTTTTGTAATTGGCCAATCAAAAAAATTTCCAAACAACAACAAACAAAAATCGCCATCGCCATAATGGCCCTGCACCGACTCATGGTCGAAGTCATTGTCAGTGGTAATTAGCAATAATTTGCTGATGCCCGATGCTATTTTTGCAGCTACTTTCGCCAGCATTCTGACAATGAAACAAAGAATGCAGAACTTTTTTATCTACATGTCGATGGCGATTTTTTGTGCAATTTTCATTTTCCCATTTTCCTCTATTTTCATTTTCCATTGAATCGAAAACAATGACTGTCACACAATAATTGTGATGTCAAATGAAATTCGTGGCAATTTCATTGAACAGCAGCAGCATCGCATTATTGTGTTGTGCAGTGGCACAGCCAACAGCAGTTGCAATGGCAGTCAGAGAGCTGGGTAGAAGATGGGGAGGGGAGGAATGCAATGAATAATAAAAATAGACATTATGTATTGCTTGGCTCCTCTTTTAATTTGCTGCTGTTGTTGTGATGGTGTCTGTGTGTGTGTGTGAGTTCGTTTGTCATTCGCTCTTGTGAATTGTGGCAATTCAGGCATTCATTTGGACCGGAAGTGACCGCCAACATCTCGCACTACTACTACTACTGCTGCTGCTTCTGTTTCTACTACCTCTGACGTTAACGAAATAAAATCTTGCATCTGATTTTTTTTGCCATGCCTCACCATGCCATGGCATGGCACGAGATCCATATTTCGGTGCCATTCATCATTGAGGGTCGTCCGAGTTTTTTTTTTTTGCAATGATTTCCATCTCCATCAGACTTCTGCGAACTTTTGTTCTGATGTGCAACACAGCGAACCGAAAATATCAAAAAAAAAATCAAATTTCCAAAGAAAGTGTTGGCCGTTAAAGGTTCCGCATTGCAATTTTTATGGTTGTGGATAAAATACAAAGTGCGAATTTTTTCCAAAACTTATTTCAATTTAAATATTAATTGAGTGTTGAGTTGGCACAGTGGGTGGTAAACATTGCTGCTGCAAAATATTGTACAAATCAATTACAATCATGTTAAGGTAAACATCATTTGACCCCCCTCCTAACCCCTGAGCAAACAATCTCGACTCGGCTCAAATTGTCATTTATGGTCGCATTATTATTCTTCTTCGTTTGACATCAGTTCTGGCAAATTTCATTACATTTCCAATTTTATTACAATTTCAATTCTAATTCCAAAGGCAGTAGCGCCAGGAGTAAACTCAGCAGTGGGCTTAATTCGATTTCTATACGGCAATACAAAAGAAGCTGCCACCCCAAAAAAACAAAACGGCCAACCTTTCTCTTATTCAACCATCCAACCTTCCACACACATGTTGTGAGACAGGGCAGAACATTTGTTATCATTAGGCCAGTGAGGAAAACAAACATTCTCCCCCACCCCTCTCTACCCCTCATGCCATGTGACACATGATGTCTGATGGCCACAGCTTTCCTATCCAAAAAAAGTTGGTATTAAAGTCACAACATTTGGCCAATCTTTAAATCGAAAACGATTTCCTATTTTTTTTTGTCAGCCTTCTCAATTTTTGGGCAATTTTCTTTGATTTTTCCATAAAAAATCATAGAATTTTCCTCTTTTACTTCGCCAAGATAATAATCAAT